ACTTTTTAATAATTATAAATGTGTCTGCAGGTTCGAAGTGGAGTCCATCCTGTGGTATCTGACGTCCATGCAGTGAGAACTTTGTTCTCTGGACCTCCCTTAGGTATCAAGAGAATGTATGCAGATCAGATGGTGAGGTCCAAATAATTGGCTAGTTTAACAATGAACTTCACTTCAAATGTACTTAGTCTTTAGTCTTAGTCTTGTTTAAAATGTATCTGCAGAGACACCTCTGTGCATTGCTCTTTCTGACGCCCCGCCTCCCAGGCTTCTGGATTGGTCGACGCTTGAACAGCCACGCCTTTGAACTCATGCAGCTTGACCGTGCCATTGTTCGATTAGGCTTGCATCAGTTAAACGATGCAGAGCTCAGAGAGGTCAGAGGTCACTCCTTATTTTGCCTGTTACATCCTGTTAGCAGCCTTTATTTTGTGATTTTTGAAGAATATTCTTACTTCACATCTCCTAGGCATGTTACGTGAGAGGGCTGAATCCAGACAGCCTGAGTCCAGGGCAGTGCCGGGAATGGCTCACACAGTGGATTCAGTTCTCAACACACCTCAAAGGTACACAGACAGGCCATAAGTTCAAGGCTATGTTCAGAATAGCGTACTAGCATGCTCCTTTATGGTGCATTCATGCAAGGTCATAATTATTAGATGAAAACCTGGACGTTCTACTCTGAGCCGTTCGTCTTTAGAGCAGGAATTATTGTTTGTAATTTTAATGTGTAAGTGACAAAATAACAAAACGGGTAACAGAAGGCTGATTTTTTTAAATCTCTTTTTTTTTTCTTCAGAAATCTCCACTTCAATAGAACGTACATACACTAAACTTTACAGTTTTATTGCTATCTATATTCTGAAGTTTTTTACAGAAGAGTTTGTTTATACAGTATATTATTTGTCTGCTTTTATACAACATTTTATCCCTAAAATCATTTCCTGGCTGCTGACAGTATTTTCTGATTTATGGAGTGATAAAAACAGACGTCCAAAATCCCCTCTTTGAAAAACATTTAAATTTAATGTGAAAGAAGAGTTCTGTTTTAGAATTGTATGCAAATTTGTGCACATTTAATTAGATAATGCCTTATTTGCATATTTAAACACATTTCATTTGCAACATTTCTGTATGCAAATTCGCTATTTCATTTAACTGCCAAAATGTAAGACTTTTTACGATACTAGATGAAAACATGGGATAACAGTGTAGCATATTTATATTAATCATTACAGTCACAATATTTTGAAGTATAGCGTGCACTGCACAGTATTCAGTATTTGAGCATAGATGTGCTCTAAAGTTTTCTTTTAAAATACCCTGAATGTTTCTTAATTGGTCAGTCGGGCTTTGTGTTAAATAGCATGAACAAATAGCACAGAAGAAACCACTGTTGTGCTTTTGAAACTGACTTGACAGTTACTGTGTTACACATTCATTGTGGTATTCCATTTCTTTCCTGTTTGCCCAGAGTCCGAGACCTCCCTTTATCTGCACTGTATGGTACTGCTAACTGTAAACTTCCCTAAACACCCAAGTCACTGACCTCTGGAGGAAGTAAATTACTTCTCTTCTAAAGGATTCACTGATCATCCACCACCACAGCCAAAGGCAAAACACCGTGGGAACAAACAGACTCATGTATGCAAATCCAAACAGCGCAACACAAGCTTTTTTACCATGAGTCTTTAGGCTTAGTCGCATTTTATGTTATGAAGGGATTTTTTTTCCGGTTTATGCAAGAATTATTCTTTAAAGGGGCTGTCATGCTTTAAATGTTTTTCTTGGAGATCTATCCAATTTTGTTTACTTCAGTAAGGAACAGATAGGAGGGACATGGTCACTGAAAGATGTCATCGGGATTATGGAATTTGTCTAATAATTTCATAATTTTTTTCCCCCCATATAGACAGGGTGTGTAATTAATGATGTACATTTATACTGGGAGAGGTTCTAACCACATCTGAGACAAAAAGCACACTGAACATCTGCCAAATGCATCCATTTGGAATTAAAGCTCATTGGTCTTATAATGAACATTTTCATTCTGAATATTTATTCTACTAACAACAGTTGTTCATGCACAGTCATCTGTGAATTGCATTTTGTACCTTTGTTTAAAACCTGCACGGATAATATCACCTATCACATAAATTTTTCTAGTTCTCTCTCAGATTGTTTAAAATGTTTTATTATAGAAACCCATTTTTTATGTTTTAAATCTGATCAGCCTTTAAAAACACTTAAGTGTGATAAAGTGTATTCCTCAATATATTATTAAGCTATGTTCTATAATGCAGCATATACTTATTTTAATTACATTTGTTATTTATTTTTGAGTTCTAAAGACTACATAAATAATATTGCACCTTGTTCCTGTTTTATCCAATAAGAAGCTGTTTGCTGTGAGCACTAGGCTGTTTGGTCATAGCATTTATGTTATGCTAAATGAGTCTTGTGAAGTTCTGAAATAACTTGATCTTCTTATTCAGCCTTTTAACAGGTGCCTTTTACTTAAGAACACAGGTACAAATGAGGAGCAGTTCATGCAGTTATCTTTATATGTTGCCAAATGTGTTGCTTTATTTTGTTTTTATATAAAGAGACAATGCTGTTTGGTTCGGTGTTAAAGTACATAGTTAATGCAGTATGAAAAGATTGGAACTTCTATTAAAAGACTTCAACCTTTATGGTGTCTGTTTGCATCCCTCATCAAGGTAGCACTGATTCACCAACACCACAGTAGTAAGCTGAAATATAAATGTAAGCTAAATATTTAAGTTCATTACATTTAAGACAAGGACAAACCTGTTTAGACATTTTATTCCTTCTTTTTTGACACGAATGTTCTATAAATTTATAAAATTTGGCATATCAGTAATAATTGATTGTTGTCTTGTAACCCAAAGGAATGTCACTGCAGTAAAGATCAAGTTTAAAACAATGTCTAAAGTATAAATCAGTCAATCAGACTTAACAGGAGACTAATCTACTGGATTAGTCATAGAAGCATAGACGTCGTAGATATTTCATTCTCAAAGAAAATGAGTACTGTCAACTTACACAGCAAGGGGGGAAATAATTGGCATTTATATAATAGTTTTAAAAACACCTGAACAGTCTCTAAGAGCTTTAAGTGATATGCTAATATGGGCGAAGTGCTGTAACTAGATGTGATCACATGACCTCATAGCCGCTGCGGATGGCTCGCATCAGAATGCAAGACAACACAATGCCCATGATCTACAAAAAAACAAAACAAAGTCGCATTTTATGTTATGAAGGGATTTTTTTTTCCGGTTTATGCAAGAATTATTCTTTAAAGGGGCTGTCATGCTTTAAATGTTTTTCTTGGAGATCTATCCAATTTTGTTTACTTCAGTGAGGAACAGATAGGAGGGACATGGTCACTGAAAGATGTCATCGGGATTATGGAATTTGTCTAATAATTTCATAAATTTTTTCCCCCCATATAGACAGGGTGTGTAATTAATGATGTACATTTATACTGGGAGAGGTTCTAACCACATCTGAGACAAAAAGCACACTGAACATCTGCCAAATGCATCCATTTGGAATTAAAGCTCATTGGTCTTATAATGAACATTTTCATTCTGAATATTTATTCTACTAACAACAGTTGTTCATGCACAGTCATCTGTGAATTGCATTTTGTACCTTTGTTTAAAACCTGCACGGATAAGTATCACCTATCACATACATTTTTCTAGTTCTCTCTCAGATTGTTTAAAATGTTTTATTATAGAAACCCATTTTTTATGTTTTAAATCTGATGTCAAAACTGAAAAGAGGTTTACAGCCTTTAAAAACACTTAAGTGTGATAAAGTGTATTCCTCAATATATTATTAAGCTATGTTCTATAATGCAGCATATACTTATTTTAATTACATTTGTTATTTATTTTTGAGTTCTAAAGACTACATAAATAATATTGCACCTTGTTCCTGTTTTATCCAATAAGAAGCTGTTTGCTGTGAGCACTAGGCTGTTTGGTCATAGCATTTATGTTATGCTAAATGAGTCTTGTGAAGTTCTGAAATAACTTGATCTTCTTATTCAGCCTTTTAACAGGTGCCTTTTACTTAAGAACACAGGTACAAATGAGGAGCAGTTCATGCAGTTATCTTTATATGTTGCCAAATGTGTTGCTTTATTTTGTTTTTATATAAAGAGACAATGCTGTTTGGTTCGGTGTTAAAGTACATAGTTAATGCAGTATGAAAAGATTGGAACTTCTATTAAAAGACTTCAACCTTTATGGTGTCTGTTTGCATCCCTCATCAAGGTAGCACTGATTCACCAACACCACAGTAGTAAGCTGAAATATAAATGTAAGCTAAATATTTAAGTTCATTACATTTAAGACAAGGACAAACCTGTTTAGACATTTTATTCCTTCTTTTTTGACACGAATGTTCTATAAATTTATAAAATTTGGCATATCAGTAATAATTTCATTCTGAATATTTATTCTACTAACAACAGTTGTTCATGCACAGTCATTTGTGAATTGCATTTTGTACCTTTGTTTAAAACCTGCACGGATAATATCACCTATCACATAAATTTTTCTAGTTCTCTCTCAGATTGTTTAAAATGTTTTATTATAGAAACCCATTTTTTATGTTTTAAATCTGATCAGCCTTTAAAAACACTTAAGTGTGATAAAGTGTATTCCTCAATATATTATTAAGCTATGTTCTATAATGCAGCATATACTTATTTTAATTACATTTGTTATTTATTTTTGAGTTCTAAAGACTACATAAATAATATTGCACCTTGTTCCTGTTTTATCCAATAAGAAGCTGTTTGCTGTGAGCACTAGGCTGTTTGGTCATAGCATTTATGTTATGCTAAATGAGTCTTGTGAAGTTCTGAAATAACTTGATCTTCTTATTCAGCCTTTTAACAGGTGCCTTTTACTTAAGAACACAGGTACAAATGAGGAGCAGTTCATGCAGTTATCTTTATATGTTGCCAAATGTGTTGCTTTATTTTGTTTTTATATAAAGAGACAATGCTGTTTGGTTCGGTGTTAAAGTACATAGTTAATGCAGTATGAAAAGATTGGAACTTCTATTAAAAGACTTCAACCTTTATGGTGTCTGTTTGCATCCCTCATCAAGGTAGCACTGATTCACCAACACCACAGTAGTAAGCTGAAATATAAATGTAAGCTAAATATTTAAGTTCATTACATTTAAGACAAGGACAAACCTGTTTAGACATTTTATTCCTTCTTTTTTGACACGAATGTTCTATAAATTTATAAAATTTGGCATATCAGTAATAATTGATTGTTGTCTTGTAACCCAAAGGAATGTCACTGCAGTAAAGATCAAGTTTAAAACAATGTCTAAAGTATAAATCAGTCAATCAGACTTAACAGGAGACTAATCTACTGGATTAGTCATAGAAGCATAGACGTCGTAGATATTTCATTCTCAAAGAAAATGAGTACTGTCAACTTACACAGCAAGGGGGGAAATAATTGGCATTTATATAATAGTTTTAAAAACACCTGAACAGTCTCTAAGAGCTTTAAGTGATATGCTAATATGGGCGAAGTGCTGTAACTAGATGTGATCACATGACCTCATAGCCGCTGCGGATGGCTCGCATCAGAATGCAAGACAACACAATGCCCATGATCTACAAAAAAACAAAACAAATGTATTGGTTAGTGTATGAGGAAGGGGAGTTTGCATTGATGTTTTGATGTGCATGTAATAGGAAAACCAATCTTGCAGGTCTCACCTGCACAAATGCAATGACCAGAGCTGCCACAGCGAACCACAGGATATTTTGCTTTAGAAATTTGTCCAAAATGGGCTGACATCCCTGTGTTAAACAAACACAAAACCAAAATCTAAGTTTTTTTTTCTAAGTTTAAAATTTAAAAGCTACGAGGACACAGACAGTCGAATTTTTTGTAGAAAAATACCACAGAATAGAAGAGTCAGCAAAACCCTAGTGCACTTAAAAAAAAGGTTTCTTACATCTGTGTAGATTTTGCTGGTTTCTTGGAGAGCTCCTTTACCACAATCCTTGGTGACGTTTTTACAGCAGGAATCTGGAACTGAACTGGGAGCCAAGAATTTTGAGTTCATCCAATCATTAGAGGAGTTTCTTCCACAGCACTTGAACTAGAAGACATTACAAATTCATACTTATTTAACTGGTCTTTTTGTAAATATATATATATATATTTGTGTGTGTGTGTAAAATAAAAATAAATCATTCAGATTTCAGAGAACAAGTGCAGCACTGAGTCTAAAGTGAAGTTTAGCCACATAACAGCATAAGACTTATAACAGCATATAACTTCTCTAATTGTTTTGTATTCTAATTGTTTTCTTTTTATTTATTATACAATTAACAAAAAGCAAAAAAGGCCTCTAACACTAGCTTGCTCTATTCTATCGGTTTTCTTTTGATTTATTATATAATTTAAAAAAACCTTGCTACGTGTACTGCATTAAGCTAACTGAGATTTGTTATAGCACTTGTATATCATTGCTCTTTTGTTGATTTTGATTGCTTCCATTGTCCTCATTTGTAAGTCGCTTTGGATAAAAGCATCTGCTAAATGATTAAATGTAAATAAGAGGAAGCAGGATGTCAGTTTAGTGTCAACAGATGGCACTGAGCAAACAAAATGGGAGAAACTCGTAAGACACGATTACATGCATGTGAAAATGGAAATCAAGTAACACGTCCAAAATGTGAGAGGTTTGGGTTTACTAACCTGTTGCTGTATAGTATCAAGGGAGTCGTGGTTTTCCGTTTTGTTGTATCCTGCAATCATGACGTCAAAACCTTTATTCAGCAGATCAGTCAGCTGCAGAGAAAGACAAATTATTATGAGCCAAATTGTACTAGGAAACAGATGAATAAAAATGAAGTGCCAGTGAGAAGAGTGCTCACGTTCCCACGCAAGACATATCCAGCGATGGCAGCTCCGATTTCAATGATGATGATGAGGGAGAGAATAACAGCAAACTAGGAGAGAATAAATAAAGGAGAGGTAACTGATAAAGGTGAATGAATAGCATTTCAAAGATTTGAATGATTTTATTGAGAGCTGGTAGGTGCTGTGCTACAGAATTTGTGTAGGCATACAGTGGCACATTCTGAGGCACCAGTTCATTGTAACTGTTTGATTTCCATTTTAGTCAAATATGCACATACACATCTATTCTTCAAATTAAGTGTTGTATAAAAAGGAATCTGGTTTGACCTGTTGGCCATGTGTTGACCATGTCAACACAGACATGCTGCAGCTTTACAGCAGTCGGTATATAAACAAAAGCATCAGAAGCTAGCAAGTTAGTGGAAATACAGCCTAGATGTAGTGTAATAGTGTAAATGTGTACCAGGTTACTTGGGCAATACTTAAAGTCTGCATTAAATCATAATTTACACAATTTACTTTGTTAGCACACATTATGTTTGTTTTGGTAATCTTTAATCAAAATCTGAACATTTGCTTCCACTCTGGAATGGCATTCCTTCTCTGATGACATCAGTTTCACAGCTTGGCCAAGTAAACGCGGACTTTAATATTAGTCACCACTAAACTTAACCCCACATATAAACTTCATATTTCAGTCAGTCAACAGTATATGTTCACAAGTACACTTGTATACATTTACATGTTAACGTGTCTACTACCCCAGTACATGCCAGATTTTAACATTAATTTATATTTTCTGTCTTTTTTCCCAAATTATCCATTAATAGTCATAATTTTACACACATTTCCCAAATCTTTAATGTTAATCTATTTACTTATTTAAATGTATGACATGTAATAAAATACTTAAATAATTACATTAGAAAATAATAAATAACACTAATGCACAACTTGGAAAAATCTAAATTTTTTTAATTTATCTTTTTGATATTAAAATCGGGCAAAATGTGGAAATATAAATATATGTGCATTATAGCAACTGAAATTTATGACAGCTGACTTCTGCATCGGGTAAAATAAGATCAAAAACAAACCTAACAATTAAAAGCGAAATGCATGGATTTCAGCACTATTTACAAATTTGAAAGCTGCTTACTGGATTCTCAATAAAGATGAATGTCATGTCATACATGGTGACTAGGCCTTTGTTTACAATGAGCTTGTAATCTAATACTGAAGCATTAAGAATAAATGGTGCAAACAAATTTTAGCCCCTAGTGCAAACAGCTGAAGCAACCCTAACCATTAAATTACATTTACTTGAATCCCTGAATCTCATTATATGCACTAGAACATGAATATTTTCATCACACATTCTTACCATTGTGATCATGCACTGATTCTCCTTCCAGGCACCACAACAGCCAAAGAATGCGATGAAGAAGATGATTACTCCCACCACTATGAGCACTAGAGGAGCCCCGGAGTATCCTTTGAGGAAGGCCGTGGTGTTGATAGAAACTTTAGCCAATACCCCCACAACAATTAAGGCCAGGCCACACAGCTAGCGATAAGAGAAAGAGAGTGAAAGTGTGAAAAACAGTGACTTTAAAAGACTCTTCTATAATAATTTAGTTATTCCTCATTCTGTAGTTAAACTGACATTAACATTCAATTAACTTACATTTTTAAACTTACAACAGTCACTTATTTGGAATCATAAAAATTGACACAGAACAACGGCGATGAAAAAGAGACCCAAAAAGAGGAACTGGAAACTCAAGATAGAAGCCACGTCATGTGTTTGCATTCTTAAATGATCTCAAAGAGTCAAATGAAATAAAAGTATTTATTCAATTCTGATCAATTCTGATCTGAGACTATTTTATGATGTAACTATCTTTGGTAACACTTTATTTTAAGGTGCCCTTGTTACACGTTACATTTTATATTATAATAACAATAAATTATGCATAATTGCATGCAAGTAACCCTAAGACAAACCCTAATCCAAAACCTAACAATATAGTAAGTACATGTAGTTAATTAATATTACCGAGTATTTAAATGAATAATTACACTGTAACAAGGACACCTTAAAATAAAGAGTAACCCTATCTTTTCAATTTAGTAATTAATATCAACTACTGAATTTTTAAGTGTTGTTTTCCACTAAAGATGTAAAGAAAAAAAATGGTACCATAACTTCTTTCATTATTCTGTTCCCTAACCATGATTCTGACTGTAGGATGTGTGTGTTAGCATTAAAGAGAAAAATAAAAAGGGAGTTGTAACTAGGTGTGGGTAAGTTATTAGCACAGTAAATTTCAGTACAGTAATTTGCCATTGGTGATGGCTTGAAATATCTACTCATCATGCTATGTAAGGTTTGTCAGCAATCAGGAAATTAGTTACGCAATAACATTATCATTATCACACAGATAAAGTACTGTGTAAATGTCTCTTAAGTAAAGTAGGACTGATCGGCACAGCTGAGCAAAGCGTAAAGGATGTTTAGTAATACGTAAATGTCGGTTGTACAAATGAAGGTTGTATGGGTGTCCCACAGCAAGTCAACAACCCAGATCAACTTTTATGACTATACCGATCCGGCTAACACACAAAGCAACACCCGAGTAAATATTTGAGGGTAATAAGTAGCAGCAGGTACCTGAACAAAATTGACAAAAGAAAAAACAACAGGAGGATAAATCCTGCTGAGTGAAATAAAGATATATGTTGAAATTGCCAGGAGTGTCTATTATTACATAAAGAAACACATGACAATGTCCCAAATAAGGAGTGGTGTTTAATTGTCTATTATCAGCCCATATTCCAGTTGACCTTTGGCATTTTTTTTTCTGAATGTGTCACAGATGAACGTTGATACTCATATGGGGAAAGTCACATGATGACGTCACAAATAGGAAGATCAATCCCATGACTGAGACTGAACTTTTAAATTTCTCTTTCACTGAGAAGAGACTTAAAATTCCCAGCACAAAACTCCACAGAGTAGTTTTTCTTGAAATTTATTTTCTAGTTCAAAAGAACTAGAAAGGCAAACACAACTGTAATTCTCAAACTCACTGGAATTGTTAATGGCTGAATGATTGGTTAAAATTAACAGAAATGGAACTGTTTCACTGTAGTTTAATAAAAATGTACAAATCCCTTGTTGTTGTGTTTTCTAACATTACAGTTGAGAATCTCCATGTGATATAATATAATGTCCAATGAATTTTCCCTGGGAAAGTTACTTGAAATCCACACATGTACTGTTTTTTAACCCATCTAAACTTTCTTTCTTTTCTTTTCTTTTCGTTCTTTGTGATTGTTTACAAATATTTTCACAACATTTCTCATTTATTTTTATGTTCACTGAATCCCATAACTAAATTAATGTCTTTTGTGTCACAAATCAGTTATTTAAATTATAAAAGGCGAGTAAACTTTCTGAGTAAACAGATAGTAGTTCAAGTACTGTGGGGTATACCGGAATAAAAAAAATAAAAAAAAATTAAAATAAAATAAGATGAGGTGATGAGGTCAACATCAAGGCAGATACCTAAATAATTCCTTCTATTATTATATACACAATAATGCTCAAATGTAGTTTAGGAAATGAAATATGTCCGAACAGTGCAACAGAAACTAATTTCAGTGCGCTTATCTGATCACAGGAAGCATAGATGATATAGGTGTTAAAATGAGCTTGTGGCCTCGTGTACATCCCCATCAGAGTATATGTAAAAAACAAGCTGTCGGCTCATACAAGTTCATGGCCATTAGCAACTATGTATTCAATTGGAAGGACAGAGTGCTGTACATGCAAGAAAGTTTTTTTTCTTTCAGAAAACATACCACTAAATGCTCAGGCTACGCTTTAAACAGAGTGTGTGGTGTGCACATTTATACCAGGGAATGCTTAGACACCAAACAATGCCAACACCAACAGCACAAGATGAATGCGTGAGAAAGCCGTGCTTTGTGTGATCAAACAAACTTGCTGGGATGAAGTGAGTGCTGTTTTCCATGACCTGAAAGGAAGCCTGCATTATCAGCGAACTGCTGAAGGACAGCCATAAACACATTAATCCCCCAAAGTCAACTAACAGCGAAGTGTTAACAACAAAACCACATTTCTGCATTAGACGTGCTTTAAATTTATGCCATGAAATGGTTGTGACTTTCTACAAGTTAAAACGGTAATCAAATGAAATTGAGTTCACCACAACATTCTCATTAGCTTTACGCATGTAATGCGAAGGTTTGCTCAGTTCCTGAGTAAACACCCGTGCTCGTGAGTGATCGGTCTTTGAAAGCTCAACAGCCATGTTTGATCTACATGCTAACACTAAATGACTGTATTCCTGCCATCTGACAAAGCCGGGAAACACGTATGAAGAGGATTTTCTTTTTACTCTGTTGAACTACTTGACTGGCAAAACTGTGTGTCAGTTACTACGAATACTCAGAACTTCATTTTGAGGTTTTGAGAGGGGGAGGAGGAATTGTGAAATACCACAAGACTTACATGAGAAGTAAAGAAAAACCTGTCCTTTTTATTTCTCCATTTTACGTCAAAGCCCCTCACTAAAACTAAAGTCATCGTGAAGCAGCATGAATTGTAAAAATGGAAGGGTTAGGAAAGAGTTTCGTATAAATCTTTCACAATAAAGCCTCCAGATAACATGCAATAAGCCAACGATAATTCAGAAAAATGGGTCAGCTGTTATAACACATGCCCTAGCTAATGTAAAATGTGATGTGAAATAATACAGATATTATTTGTTACTCACCCAGAAGATGAAATTAAAGAAAAAGAGCATGTATTTGATACATTTCGCTCCTCCTTCTACAGCCATGGTGCTTTTCAATTAATTCCTGTGGAAAAATAAAGGTAACTAAAAACACATAAACTAAAGTAAATGACCACACCCACTGCCCTTAATACCTGCAAGGTTAAAAATACAGAAACAATATAGGTCAATGTACTGACATGAGCTAAATGAGGCTAATATTTAACTGTATATTACTCAAAGTAAAAGTAACTGAAAGAAACCATAAAAACGACAAGAAACAATGTCAAAGGGCAAGAATATGTAAAGATGTAATGTGAAAGATTACAAAGTGATATATCATTAAGCTATGACTGAAACAAACTATTCAACTGTATAAATGACTATAACCTTTTCAAAATAAATCAGATTCTTTCCTCCAAGATTTTCCAGCGTGGACATATTATGCTTGACCTCATGACTAACATCACAAAATTACTTGAAATAACGCCAAAATAATTTTTCTGAGCGGCTAATGTCTCGGTCTCATCCAGTGTGTGATGTTAGTTCTTACAGGACAAAGTATCACTGGACAGTAACTCAAGGTACAAACAAAAGATTAACCACGTTTTTATTATTATTATTAATGTAATTGATAAAATGTAAAAATCTTTGTGTGAAAGATGTGTCGAACAAAATGACTATAGGCAAAATAAATGTAAGTAAAATGTGGGTTTTGGACCCTAATAAGGCCTAATATAATAATAGTCCTCATTTTCTTTAACCAGACCAAAAAGGAAATTAATCAGGTAAAATTTAACATTAGAAATGCTAAAAATGTTGGCATGTCTTAAGTAACCAGGAACGAAGTAAAACCGTGAGAAAGGTGAAACTGTGGTTATTACCATAGTCACGAGATTAATAGTTTGATGTTTTAAATAAATTGTGAATGTTTACTGTCAAATTGGCCTTCAAAAGCTAACGTTACATGATCTTTAACTGAGTCGGTAAACCAGTTGTACATAAACAGTAAATATGTAAATACATTTCTGAGTATGACGACCCGACGCTCAACGGTAATTTCTTACTTTTTCCTAATCCCGGTCCTCGTGTTGTACAAACGCCTTATTTCTGAACCAAATCCTTAACTTTAGAAGGCTTTACATTATGGTATTTGAAATCTGATAAAACACGGGTTTCGCATGTTCAAAAAAACACCAATATGTCTGAAATTTTGAAGACTTTTAGGGCCTCGCTCTTTCAGAAAAGACTTGAAATTCAAGATACGACACAAGAAAATCGCAAAGGAGAGGAAACAATGTGACTATTGACTGGGTTAACTAAATTACACCCCGCGTGTAATTTCGACGATTTCCAGTTAAAACTAATTACTTAAGATAACAAACAACGAGTAACGTTACTCCTTATAAGTGAAGAGAAAGTGCGACGCATTCGCTTCAATCTCGAGCTCGCTCGAAACATTTAAGTTACATGGTCGCGCGACTGTCGAGAAAAACATCGGTGAGAAATAAAAACGTTTAACGTTACCTCTGGTCAAAATGTCAAGTCTACCGTGCAGAAAACCTGTAGAGTGAAAAATCGAATGCTATCTTGTCCAAGCAACAGCACACACGGATATGAGAAGTCGACTGTGTAAATGTGATCCCTCCTGTCAGCGCACCCCACCCCTTACTGCAGAAGAGGCTGAGCCGAGTACAGAAATCATCGTTTACTTTCAACTGTGCTCAGACTTGTTTAAAAATCCTACCCGATTTTGACATCTGGTTGTAGCACATAGTTTATATAATGGTTAAAAGGTATTGTCAACAACAATACGAGCGTCACATTTTAAAGGAGCACTCAGTATTTTTACTAATTAAAAAGTTTTTTACACAAAGAAGTGAACAACAGCACTTTTAATTAGGCTATGTATCAGCTGTTTTATTCTGTTTAAATATTTTATTAGAAATTTTGACAGAAAGTCAATTGTAATTACACTTTTTTTTTAAAAAATGCAAACAAACTTAAATTTTAACAAATGGCATAACAAGAAAAGAAAAAAACACACACAATAGTCAAAACAATTAAACAGAAAATATAAATAAAATAAAATCTCCTCCCACCCAAATACTCAATCCATAAGTGCTATCGAATGGTAAAGGTAGGTAATGTAGGCATGATAAACATATTAATCACAAGTTTGCAAAAAGGAAATAAAAGGGGACCAGATTTTTTCAAATAACAAAGGCTTGTCTATTAGGGTATACCTAATTCTCTCCAGATGTAGTGTACTTGACAATTCTGTCAGCCATAATTTAAGATTTGGAACTTCTTTTTTCTTCCAAAACAAAAGAATAAGTTTTTTAGCTGTTTTATTCTACATGAAGAGGTCGCGCCCTCGTGAGCGCCACCATGTTGACATCACATGACCAGCAGTCATGCAAGTTAAGAATAATAAATGTATAGACATACAGTGGGGGAAAAAGTATTTAGTCAGCCACCAATTGTGCAAGTTCTCCCACTTAAAAAGATGAGACTCATTTATATTATATGGATGAGTGTATTATCAGTAAACAAAATATTTTTACACCAGTACATGTCAGTATTAAGTTGAAAACCAACCACTGAGACAAAAACAGCTGTCTGAAAAGATCTCAAAATAAAAGTTCATATTTTAATTTTGAATTGACATATTGACAGATTGCATCATATATAAACCCAACCAGTTCACATCACTAATAAATGTGTTAAGGAGTCATGTTGTTTGTTATACTAACTATAATTAATATAAGATCATTTTATTACGGTCTTGCAAATATCATTTGACACTGAAGACGCCAGCAAAGATTAGAAATCATTTACATTCATCTTTCCCATTATACACACACCCAGTGTGATATAATTTTATTGCAACATTGTCGTGGCCTGAAAAAATAATTTTAATAGACAGGAATGAATGAAATTTACCACAATCATTTATTAAGGGAGGTCAACCTTGTGCAGTCATGGAAAGGGAATTCTGGATTAAATTTCATCAGAGCCATTCTGAAAATTCACGTACTGTATCAAACATAAAACACTTTTCGATTTTATTATGGGGGGGGGGGGGGCATTTTTTTT